GTCAGTGGAGATTAAGCTTTCAAAACACTGTAGTCCATTCACAGCTTACAGAACAGAACCTCAGAGGGAGTTGGGGACGATGAGGGAATTTTGTGTGTGTGTGTGCGCGCACGTGTGCCATTTTTAGACACAGTAAGAGCAGACGTAGCCTCCACAGGGGTGCAGTCCAGTGTCAGAGTAACTGGACCTCAGGGCATTATCCATAGCCTTTTTGTGGATTAAAATCAATTCTCTTTATGATGAGAAGCAGTAATTGCCTTAAACAGAAATACCCTGTCACATCAGCAGCCAGTCGGCAGTTTTCCATCAGACTCTATCAATTTCATGCCGGCTTTGCATTTGAAAATCAGTCATAAGTAATGTGTTTCTCACGATCCTCTTTTTAAAATGCTCATGTATATATGAATGTGTTTTGCCAGGGATGCACAGACCTTTTTTGCAATTCATTTTCAGTTTGGTGACTCATCTGTCATCTGTAAGTCTGTTCACAGCACTTTCTACCATCTTTAGTCCTCAGTTCCCTATTAGCTGTTGGAGTGTAGTTGGTATGAACTATGATCACGATTCACAAGCTATAAGGGATACCAAATAGTGCTCTTTTTGTTTATTGTTCTTGTTAACAGCTTGCATGCATTGCAGTCTGCCTCCTCAGTACCTTAATATAACAGCCAAGGTCTCATCAGACATACTGTTTCTAACCAGGCAGGACTTTCTATATAGCATAATGGTGAAAGAGTGCTCTCTGTGCAAGCTGGTGTGATGGATTAGTTGAACAGTCAAGAACATTCTTTATAGTCTCACAAACACTTTCATTTATTTTTGTTTGTTCAAAAGTCAGTAGTTTCACCATGTTCATAAATATTATTGTGTTATTTGAGGTTTGACACACTGTCCTTAATGTTTCTCCACCACTGCTTATCCTGTAGAGGGTTGCAGGTGAGGGTGGAGAAAAACCCAGCCTACACTGGGCAAGAGAACCCCGGACAGGTAGCCAGTCTATCACAGAGCTCTTTAATGCTTATTCGCTGGCTGTTTTAATTGTCAATTAATGAAAAATGTACATTTCCCTCTCTTTTCCTCTGTATCCCCTCCTGTCCCCCTCATTGTGCACAGTAATCATGGCAGAAGCCCACCAGGCTGTGGCCTTCCAGTTCACGGTTACCCCGGAGGGCATTAACCTGCAGCTATCCCACCAGGCCCTCACTGAAATCTACCTCTCTGGTGTGCGCTCCTGGAAGAAGCGTGTCATCAGACTCAAGGTATCACCACCCTGGGCGGTGCACCGGTTGTCTGTTTTGTTTGTTAATGCTTAGCCTGTGTTGATATCCCAAAACCAATCTGTCTTCTGTCATGTGAACAGAACAGTGTGATAACTGGGGTATATCCTGCCAGCCCTTCCTCCTGGCTTTTTGTGGTTATAGCAATCCTGGCTACTATGTACACTCGCTCTGACCCCTCCATGGGACTCATAGCCAAGATACAGGAGCACCTGCCAGTCAGGTAAAGCATCTCATGACACCATGACGTAGTAAAAGTTAATGATAAATCTTGTGATTCCCCAGACACAGAATGTTCCTTTTTCCTGGCAGTAGATTGTGTCATAGTGACACTGTTTACATAGACCTTACTCCTTCCTATTTTTATAGTCTTCTATGATTGTAAATCATTTTATGTATGCTGATGATTTGGCCATACTTTCGCCCAGCAGTGCTGGTTTTCAGCAACTGCTGAATGTGTGCTCGGACTATGGATTGAAGTATGATGTGAAATATAATGCAGAAAAGAGTGTTGTACTGATCTGTCGGACTAAAGGGGACAAAGAACTTTGTTTGCCAGACTTTTGTTTGTCTGGACAAAGGTTGAGTGTCTGTAGAAAAACTAAATATTTAGGACATTTCATTACAGATCAGCTTTCTGATGATGAGGATATATATCGGCAGTGTCGCATTTTGTATGCTCAAGCTAATATGTTGGTTAGGAAATTTCACATGTGTTCTGCTAATGTTAAAGTTCATCTGTTCAGAACATACTGTACACCGTTGTATACTGCCCCATTGTGGTGTAAATATAAGGTAGCTACTTTACAGAAACTTAAAGTTGCTTATAATGATGCCTTGAGGATTCTGCTTAAGAAGCCTAGGTCCACCAGCGCCAGTCTGTTGTGTTCACAGGTCCATGTTAGTACCTTTCAGGCATTAATGAGAAACCTGATGTACAGATTTATCTGTCGTGTGAATAACTCTGAGAACAGTCTTATAATGATGCTGGCTAATCCTGGTTTTAGTGTAGTACGTTACCAATCCTCTCTGTGGAAACATTGGTATAAATGTCTTTTATGATTTTTATTTTTTTTCTTCTTTTATATCCTTTCTTTTTTGTATGGACCTTGAGTCTGCTAATAAAGGATGATGATGATGATGATGATGATGATTGCTAATTGCAGACTGTTCTGATGTGTAAAGTAAGAGGGAAACATCAGGGGAAGAATGTTGTGTCTGGGAACCTCAAGTGACTTCACATTAACAGTGAAACTGTATGAGTGTGTGTGTTGTTGTCACCTCCTGTCGATGGTGGTGTAACACTCCCTGAGCCAGCTGATTCCCGGCAGTTTGTCTCTCTGACCTCCAGCACACAGATACACGATCACATAGTTTTCTGCAACCATCAGTTCCAGAGTCCCAACGACATACCTGCAGACAGTCGGCATGTTCAGCTCCATGCAGCGGTGTGTCATGCTCACAGAGGTGCCAGCATGGCTGCACACTCTGGGTTCACACTGCAGCTCAGGCTCACGGTGGATGCAGAGCTTTCGGTTTGTTAGTTTGTTCTGAAATGTGTTTGGAAACACTTTGTACTTTTGGCTTGAAAATGCTCCTTTAACTGAACCTGTCATTACTGTCAGGTAAACAGGTGTGTTTACAGTGTGCAGCACCTTTCTAGAGCAGGAAGATGAAACAATAAGAGACTAAATAAAACATGAAATCCAGTCTGAGACTGAAGAGGAGCAGAACTCTACAATGACTGTCAGGAGTAAACACAACGCTACAGTCAGCTGGTAAATGTGACTGAGTTTTAGATGAGAACATGGTTACTCCTGCAGCTCATACATAGTTTCATGTTTGAGGTCAAAGGTCACAGATTACCTGAACAGGTGATCCATCACATACTGGTAATTCTCCAGACTGTTCTGGGGCAGGTAACAGGAGGAAAACACGATGATGTCGTTCATACCATCTCCTTGGTAACCTGAGAGACAGAGACAGAGAGGCTAACCCAGATGTCTGCCATGAGGGAGGGGCCACAGGGCCTCAGCTGAGCCAGCACACAGGTAAGTCCTGCACCTGCAACGAGGGCATACCTCCGTGTGACAGCACTCTGAGAAATGGCTCCAGGACACTCATGTTGACCCGGCTCTCCTGTGGAGGGTCGCCTGTGGAGAAACACCGCCACCTGGTGCCCTGACTGTCCACCATGTCCTCCCTCTCTAGAGCTCCCAGCCCGCTGTGGTCTGTCCCCGGTCCAGAACTGGCACGGGACTCAGAACTAAACCTGGGGCTTGGGCCAAATGGTCTACGACGATGGGATGCCACGCCGAGACCGTGCAGGTCATCTGGAAAGACGAGTATATGATGAATTTCAGACACATACTGGCATCCCCAGACTGTGTGACCTCTGACCTCTCACCTTCCAGGTCGTACATGGGAAAGGGCAGTGATTCACTGTCAGAGGGCGTTTCCATGGCATCCAGGTCAAAGTCGAGGCCTGTGTCATCATCATCTTCAGGCGAAGGGGACAGGAAGCCGGGTGGGAAGTCCTCAGAGACCACGGACTCACTGCGACCTGAAAACGTCACACATCATGACCCTAACCTCTGGGTCCGTGTCTCCCTCTCCTACACCTACAATGCACCTGCTTTTCACTACAAGTTCACGTCATGGCCATGTGGTGTCTGCCGTGATGCTCTCTGGTGCAGGTTTCTTACCTAGAGACAGGCTGAGAGCTGGAGCCGCCAGCACTTTCTTCTTCGGTGGTTGTGGCCCTGATAAGGCCAGGCTTCTGGGAGGAGCTGCAGACATGCACAGCATCCAGTTGTTTATTAATATGAGAATGGGTCGGACAACAAATAATAACAAATTATGAAAATAAGTCATAATAAACACAACATAAACATTAAATTAATAAGCATCAAGATGCTGAGTGAAAACTGGGCTTGGATCAATTATTTTCACTATAGAACTAAAATATTTGTTAAACATGTGTTTTTATAATGTGACAGCCTCCTACTGAGAGGGCCGGGTTTGATTTCAGAGTTTCTACACTGTTAATGTTAACAGGTGTGGTACCTGGTTTGTCTGTGGTCGGTGTCGATGGGTTCTGCTCCGAGTTGACCTGAGCTGCTGCTGGTGACAGGAACACAGGAAGTCAGACTGAAAACAGGTGAAGAAGAAGGAGCAGGAGGAGGAGGAGGGAGATGGGGATGTTACCTGGCTGGAAGTCAAACTCCTTCTCACCTGGGGGAAGACAAAGAGAGGACACAATGAGGACAGAGTTTAACCTGAAGAAGAGTTGGAGATGGTCAGTTTTCCTCACCTGGCTCATCTCTAGCCAATGTTCCATCTTCTGTCTCCTCCTCCTCATCTTCAAAATAAAACCATTTCAGAGTGAAGAGATACCACAGAAATGCACCTGAGATTGAGATGCCTTTCTGTTTGTCTTACCTGCTGAGTCCACACCTGTCACTGCCTTGGCAACACCGTTCTCTCTTACTTGTTTACCTGTTTCCACCTGCTCTGTAGAAGAAATGAAATGTTTGGAGTTGACCTGAGAATACAGTCAACAGCAGACATCATTCTTAATCACATTTATAAATCAATAAATCTGTCGAGCATATAAAATAATTCCTGAATTCAGCAGATGCTCTCCTGTGTCCTCAGAAAACAGTCTAGTGCCTGTCTGGTCATCAGATGGTCTAGTGGCGGCAAGTGCTAGTAGTAGCTGCAGTAGTAGTAATGCTAATATGTAATACTGTGGTAATACTGGTCATACTGTTGGTGCTGTTGATGTCCTCAGTGATTTCCCCTGCCAGAGATGACCTGCACACAGAAACACAAAGTTTTGTTTATAAACTTGACTGAAAACAATTTTCTCCAGAATTTATTCTAGAAGTTATTTATTGGTGTAATTATTCATATGCCTTTATTTTCTCATGTACTTCTACTTAAAGAAATACATTTAACATTTTGAATAAAACATGATTTTCCTGAGAGAAACATGAGCAATGGTAATAATGAAGTGATATGCAGACGACACTGCACTATTTCTTTGAGATTCCACTACAGATGTTATTAATATTAAAGTATATTTCCATCTGCAGTTTGTTCTGCTTTGACACAGGGTTGTATTATTGGCTCTATACTACATTTTTAGGAACATGAACATGAAAACATGGAACAACTGTTTAAAAAGCCAAAACATTTTCTGACATAAAACACCCAAATTAAAAATTGCTCTTCCTAAACAGCTGAAGTGTTTTTATATTCTTTTAAAAATCCAGTTAAATAAACCAAATGTAAAGGGGGTGAATGAACTCTGACCTGGGTGTGTCTTCCTCTTCTTCCTCTCTGGACTCCATCTTGTTTCTGCTGCTAGCGAAGATAAATTACATGATGAGAATTTTGTGATGATGTCTGGGGCGACTCACAACCACAACAGAGGTCGTATTTCATCCGCTAGCCAGCCGGTCAACAGTCCGTCCTGAAGTCAGCTAGTTCTGAAACTATGGACGGATCATCGCCCAGGCCCAGGGGCCTCTGCAGGAAGTGACTGTTAATATTTCCTGTGTCAGTGAAAGAGCTCAGCTCAAAGACCACAAAGTGAATCAGAACCACCAAAGAGATGCAAGATGACTGCAAAGAGACCGAAAACAACCACAGACTCAGAACAGTCACAGAGATTCCGAACAACTTCAGAGACACAAACTGTCCTCAAGAGACTCAAACACAAAAAGCCATAAAGAGACACAAAGGAGACAAACTTAACAATTGTTTGGATTATTTCTTACTGTCAAAACTAATACAAGCCTTCTGTCAAACATAAACACACTGATGAAGTAAAGTCATGACGACCGCACTGAATTTAGATTATTTCTGTGCACAGGGCTGAACACGAGGTTTCGTTTATAAAACAAGTCACACCTCATGTTTTATTGAGTCACTGCTCCACAGTCCCTCCATAAATGTGATAAAGCTTCCAACCACAGAAATTCACCCTGACTGACTCTAACAGGTTCGGCAGTACACGATGTGGTTTGGTGTACCATTCATCAACGACTCATTCCATGGCTCTGGCCCACGTTGTTGACTCACAGTCCAGTCTGTCTGCTCCTGTTTTAGGAGCTCAGCGTATGAACCTGGCTTCACACTGCACTGCTCCTACAGCTCTTATCTCAAACAAACAGCTCACAGAGAGAAAGGTTTGATTACAAAACACTTTATAACACAAAAGAGAGTTAAAACAGGAAACAGAGTAAAGACTTACAGCCGTAAGGAGGTCGTTTCTGTCTGGGAGTCGACAGGAAACTCACACGCTGCAACAGCCAGCTGAGGTGAGACGTGTGCAAGACAAACAGATTGCTGAGAAAGCTGCTGCTCACCTGGAAACTCACCTGATGACATCACAGGCATTTTTACGACTTTGAGCAGACTCTGACACCTCTCTCTCTCTCCATACCTCACCTCTACCTCTCTCCAACTCACCTGTCTCTCTCTCCATACTTCACCTCTACCTCTCTCCACCAACTCACCTGTCTCTCTCTGTGTACTTTCACGGCAGAGGTGTGGTGTGTTGCTGCAGTGAGGCCCGCCCTGTTGCCACGGTGACTCTGACTGTACAGGCAGAGGCGTAGGGTGGAAACTGCAGCGTGCATGTTCCTACCTGCTGAGGAGATTGCACAGGTGATACGAGTTCAGACTTTCCTGTTGGGGCTCTGAGGGCTTTGGATGTGACGGAGGTTAAAAACTCCACTTCAGGGTTTTTAAATGTCATGTAGACGCTTTACATCGAGTGGAGGTCATTTCTGACTCAGCGGGTTTATCACTAATGGCTTCACAGCAACAGGAGGAGATAAAGCAACCAAACAAAAGAAAACAACAGCAGTTATTGAGGTGAAAAATAAGAGGTTTAGCTTTACTGAACATTTTCAGCACTCAGTCAGCAGGCAGGGTGGTGCACTAGACATATCCATTTGTCAAAGTCAAACAACAATAAGATATATATAAAATAAATAATGAGTACAAAGATCAAAATCTAAACATGTTGTTTCTACTCTTCCCTGCAACAAACTGTGAATTTCACCTAAAACACTGTGACTTTGGAAACTCTCCACTGGATTTGTCTAATGTGAAGGCATGAAGCCTCACGTCAGCTTGTCCTCCATCACTTACACTGAA